ACCTCGTCCAAGCTGGCCGTGCGCTGAGCGATCGCCCAGAGCAATTCGAGCGCATAGAAGACGAAGACGACACACCAGGCTTGAAGGACGGCTTCGACTGGTACATGAGACCCTCCGACAAATCGAAATACGAAGAGATCTATTCCGCCAACCGTAACCACCGTGGCGAGATTACATGTACGTACACTTTACTGTCCCGCTGCTAGTCGCACTCACCCCCGTAACATCCATTCAAGGCTAATGCCGGCTACAGTTGAATCACTACAAGGCTTGTACGACTCCCTCGACGTCCCGGATGCCGATATCCGCTCCGCATGGAACCTAGTCAACCCCTCTGCCTCCCCCGCAATCAACAAAGACGCCACCCTTGCCTTCCTGCACATCCTCAACTACCGGCACGAGGGCTTCCGTATCCCGCGCACCATCCCCGCCTCGCTCCGCGCCTCGTTCGAGAACAACAAGATCGACTACCAAGTCGACAACGCCCGCCCCGCACAAAGGTGGGGCGCCGACGGGGACACAGAGACCCCAACAGGGCGCAAGGCCAAGTTCGGCGACACTTATCTGAGCCGCTTGGGCGTGGGCGGCAAGGGCTCCTACACGCCCAAGGGCACAGACTTCAGCGACACAATCCAGGACGAGGAATGGGAGAAGGTGCGTCTGCGGCGCGAGCTCTCGGAGCTGCAGGCCAAGCTTGATGCCGCCAACAAGGCCTCCGAAGGGCGCAGGGATCGGCCGCGGAACGACGGCCGGCCATCCTGGACCCTCATCAAGAAGGAGGCGCTTCAGCTTCTGGAATACAAAGAGCGTGAGCTCCGGGAGCTGCGAGAAGGCACGGGGAGAGCCAAGGCGGGTCAGGATCTGGAGCGGTTACGGGAGGACATCAGGACCGTTGGGGAGCAAGTTGAGGGGTTGAAGAGCCATCTCGCGCAGCGGAAAGAAGTCCTTGCAGATTTAAGGAGTCAGATTGAGGAGGAAAGGGCACGGCGGTAATAGCCTCATTCTGGTCGTTTTTTTCCCTACTGCTGGATAGTACCTGACTTTCTCTCTTTGCATGCTTGCCGGCGGGTTATTTTTGTATTTGTGGCCAATTCATCATGTACAGCCATTCTTTGGCGAGGAGCATAGGCGCTAAATGGATGATTCTCTTTTATTCTCGTCGTTATGTAAGGGGTGGACCAAGTCCTATCAGCAAGTATTAGGACCTAGTTTCTAACTGTTGTACATCAAATGATATCCTTTTCACCAACGCCAACGCCTAGACATATCCATCTGTCATAACGCCTGTTTACACGGAACAGATTCACCCCCAAGCCCAGGCAATCATCCAGAAAAATCTAACTCCCAGTAATTTGAGCCATGAGGGAGTTCCCCTCTTTCTCCGTCTCAACAGCCTTGAACGCACGCCCGGTCTGATCCAGGCCCTTCTCGGCACGCGCATACGCCTCCTCGCTGCGATCGGTCAAAATATCCAGATCTTTTTGCGACAGGAGCGCGGACGGGTCCGCACCCGTCTCGAAGCGCTCGAATTCGTCTTCGCCGAGAGCCTTCTTGAGCTCTTCTACGTCGCTGTGACTCACTGAGCTCGAGTCCAGGAGGCTTCTGAACTTGCCCTTTTGGATGACGAGGCGTTCGAGACGGCGCTTCGAGTCCGCTTTCTCGAGGAGAGTTTGTTCGACGGTTCCTTTGGTTGCGAGTCTATACACGATTACGGGTTTGGTCTGGCCAATCCGGTGCGCGCGGTCTTGGGCTTGGAGATCTTGCTGGGGGTTCCAGTCCGAGTCGTAGAGGATTACCGTGTCGGCGGCGACAAGGTTAATCCCCTGGCCTCCTGCTCGGGTGCTCAGCAGGAAGATCTTATAGCCCGGGTCTGAGTTGAAGGCTTTGATTTGGGCTTGACGGTCTGTCTGGCTGATGGCGCCGTCAATGCGGCAGCAGTTCCAGCCGCGGAGCTGGATGGCCCAATCTTGAAGAATGTCGAGCTGTGTTTTGAACTGGGAGAATATGAGGATCTTGTGCCCCTTCTTCAGGAGACAAGGCACGAGGCGGTCCAGGAGGAGCATCTTGCCCGATGCGGTGACAAGAGTCTCGTCGATGGCGGACGGGTCGTCGCTCCATGGCCAGTAGAAATTATGCGGAGAGTTACAGGCGAGACGGGCTTGCATGACCGGATTCTGCAATTTCTTCTGAGCAATTTCTTTCTCTGCGTAGGTTCGTTAGCACCAGCCAGTAGCCACTAAGTTAAAGACAGCCATATACATACTAGCAAGCTTGATAGTATTTGCTCTTTCGATTTCCTCTTGCTCAGTATTGATAGGGCTCTGTCGTATATCCAAATCGTCTTCCAAGCCTTGCTCAAGGCGGCGTAGTTGCGCATTAAATTCGCGGTCACTCAACTCTTTGTAATTTTGAGGGGCCCTACGCCTGCGGGTTGAGCTAGCCACACTGGCTGGAGTCGAATCTCTGCTGGATTTGAGGCTCTTGTTGGGGGTTGAAGAGTTACTACTGTCGGCACTGCGCTTTAGGCTCGCCGAACGGGACAGTCTCTCATTCTTGGCCATGAGTCGTTCTGCGGCTTTATCCTCGAGATATTGACGTCCAGTACCATTAAGAATCTCACGGTACAAATCCTTTTGCTCCGCTGTGAGAGGGGCATAGAGAATGTATTCGCGTTTCTTGGGTAAGGCAGTCTCCACGTCGGTCTTAACCCGCCGCAGAAGGAAGGGCTTCAGAATTGAATGCATGGTGGAGACAAGTGTGCGTTTCCGACGTTCTATGACATCCGTCTGCCCATTGCTATCGAGCATTGAGGAAAAGTCGAACCAGCTCTGGAAACTGTTGAGGTCGTTGAAGATTTCCGGCAGCAAAAAGTGCAACAGTGACCACAGCTCGGTAATGTTGTTCTGTAGTGGTGTACCAGTGATCAGCAGTCGGTTTGCCGAGTTGTACGAGAGAAGCTCCTTAATGAGCTTGCAGTTCATATTCTTCAGGCGGTGACCTTCGTCCTGATCTCGGGTTAGAGATGTACTCCACTTTCCCGTGGATAGTAGCGCAGAACTTACAACAATGATATATCGCCATTGGTATTGCGCAAGGAACTTTCGATCGTTCATACAGATCTCATAGGACGTGCAAACGACCGGAAAATCTGCACTCTTTTGGTCCTTTAGCTTCATCAAGTTCCTGCGGATCGCGGCACGTTCGTCTTTGGAGCCATGGTACAAGACTGTCTTGATGCTCGGCGTCCATCTCGCGAACTCATCTACCCAGTTGCTGACTGTGCTCAACGGAGCCGCAATCATAAAAGGTCCGGAGACGTTCTTCTCCTTGAAGAAAGCAATCAACGAGATTGCCTGGACTGTTTTCCCAAGGCCCATCTCGTCGGCCAGAATTCCACACAAGCCATTCATCCAAAGCGACTTGAGCCACTCCAGTCCTTCCAACTGGTACTTGCGCATTCTTCCTCCAGTAACAAGCTCCGGTTGCTGGGTGGCGACAAGATCTTGCCCACCCAGAGCACTGGGATTGGCCTCATACTCGTCCGCAGCATGTTCTAGGGCTTCCTGCACCGTCGGTTTGTCTTCGGGGTCCTCCATGTCCGCTTTCTTGAAATAGCTTGCAATGCTGTTACCGTTCGACGCAGAAGCACCCTTCTTGCCTCTGCCTCTTCTCGACCTTGTGGCTGTCTTTTCATCTGGTTGCTCGCTAACAGCAGGTGTTGTCTCATCTGCGGAAGGCTGCTTCGCCCTCGCGCGGGTTTCTCGCCTCCCAACTGAGCCTGCGGAAGTTGCCTTCTTTTGATCTTCTGTCGGCTTTTGCTGTTGTTGTTGCTGCTGCTGTCTTGCCGCTTCAAGCCGGGCCTCTTCCTGCTGCTTCTTCATCTTGTCCGCCATAATCGCCACAAAGACCTACGGTAGCAACCAAACAGTCAGTGTTTCATCCCATAGTAAAGATAGCATAAGATAGAGGAAAACATACCTCACTTGTATTCAAAAGGTGCATCAGAGCCTTCGATTTGGCATCCATCTCCTCGACGTCCTCCACCTGCTCCGGCTTTCCATTTTCAACCCCGGACATAGGGCTACCCTGCTCCAGCTCATCCATGGCAGGATTCAACTCTTGATCGACCATATTCGTTAGTCGTTTCAGAGAAAGAACACTGTGGTAGAGTTTTGCCGCTCAGGGGTATCTTCGTAGGTATCTGTGGGTGTTGACTGGAGTAGCTGCACCAGACATGTCCTTCCTCTCTGTTTGAACTCAATGCGTTGCTCCTTTAATTATTGTTTGCTTTGTAGAGCTCAAATTGGATCAAAGTGGCGCTATAGCACCGGTCTTGAGACAGCAATCTTGTCTTCTTTTGCTCTATCAGAGGTCTCGTTTGCCTCAATATTATATAATCCAAGATGGGAGACACAAAGAACACAAGAAAAGGCCAGTTCTTGCGTAGGAATGCCCGACGCAATGCTTGTTCCCTTTTGACGCGAGTGTTCTTGCTGTCTAGGCTGCAGGACGCGGGTTTTCGCGTTTGCGCACAGACCAGTTTTTGATTGCTTGACACACCGCCCTTAATACTTTATGCGGAGATGATCCACGATCCGCCTATTACCATGCATCGATCGAGCAGCCTCCATCTGCAAGGTCTAGACCGGATTCTTTCGATCCGACCTTCAACAATTCCATCTGGTTAATATGTCCCTTTCACGGATGACGGTAAGGAAGGACAAATAGTCGCCATGATACACTTTAACACCCCCTACCCCTCTCTTTGTTGCACTAGTGTGTCTTGAACTTGGGATCTTGACAAACAACCAAGCAGATACCCTTTGTCTGATCAAATTAGTCATTGAATGACTTCTGTCTCAATGCCATGCTGGTTACATCGACTTGAATACATTCTAGCTCTTTTCTATACCTCGCTTCTGAACAACTTGCGCTTGAATATGCGGAAGCTCATAATCTATTCCTCTATCTATTACTAGTACTCAAGGTACTCCGACAGTCTATAAGTTCTCGGAATTAGCCCTTCCTTTTGTGTTCCGAGAGGCATTCACCACAAGTGCCACTTGCGTGCTAAGAGCTATCAGCTCGCCTTGCGGATCGAGAATGACAACATCCAAGTCAGCGCGGCTACCACGAAGCATTCTGGTAACCACGCGCGATTGTAGCCATTCCACGCCTTCGGGAGGAATCCTGGTTTTCAGATCAATGTTCAATGTCACCGTGGGGTACCAAAACGCCCCTTTGTCATGAGCGTTTCCTTGGAGGTCGCCTTCCTGGACCCCCTCCATGGCAAGTAGCCGGCTTGTTTCCATTGCACCCATCCTGTCAAGCGCCGCAGGAAACATATCCGCCAGGAACATAACCGCTTCGTTCGACCAGCGCGCTACTGTTTTTCCACCGGGAATGAATCTTGCCCATTGATCGACAACTTGCTTCTGCCGACGCTCGAGCGTCATCGGCCCTTGGGGGCGTGGTGCGTAGATCTCTAGATGTTGTGGTGCGGTCACGACAGGAGGTGGACGAGGTAACCGCATCCACGCGCCATCCGTTCCGTTCGCTGCCAACGCTTCTAGATTGACCGAGCCATTTGCTAGGGAGCCGGATACCGGAGGTGGGGAGAGCCCCCAGGTGCCTTTGCAGATCGGGCCCTCCTCCATGTCCGGGGGGCTGACGGTGATATATCCGACGACTTTCACTTCGAGGTCATTCTTGTCACCCGCTGTGCCAGGCCTGTCCGGTCGCTGAGACAGTGTGACATGGATCGTACTTATCCGTGCTCCTATCTTGATATCCTGTACTCTTAAGATTGCGGGCCCCACGACTGTTCGTCGGAGGAACGACAACTGCATTCCGATGGGTTCTGGTGTGCTTTGGAACTGATTACACTTGGTCTCTCTAAAGTACACCGTGGCTAGTCGGTAGAGCACACTTGTAGTATAACCTCCATGAGGCACTGTCAGGCAGGTTAGAAGAGACCATCAATATGCCTCGGGGGCTTGAACTTGCCGCTCAAGATGCACCACTGGGGGTCCAGATAAGCCGAGTATGTGTGTGAGTCGATCGGCGTGACAGTGATTGCCTTTTCGAACTCCGCTGAATGGCAAGGCCCTGCCATGTTTCTGTCGCAGCCTGTAACTGTATCAAGGAAATGTTATTCGCCTTCCCAGCATGGAGCTCCGTGAAACTTACCACGTAGAAATTTAGAATGCCGGGTCCGATTACGACCTGCGGGGTTTCATGGTTTCAAAGATCATGGAGAGTAGCCACTAATTTATTTTCTCGCCGTGCGCGTGATAAAAGGAGCTACTGGTTTTGATTTTGGAACCATTCGGGCCTCGGCCGGAAAACAGTTGAGTGCGACTTGGCCGTTGATCATGTATGCCATGCGCTCTGTACCATTTCAAAGATAATTGACCCAAATTTAGAGGCCCTGCCCTCCATTGTTGCAACATGGAATATCAATATCTGCTCCTTATTTCAGCGCAAAGTCCTCATACATGATGAGTGTTTGAAGAAAAGACGATCACTAATCATGACTCGCCATCTTATCAAATCTTATCTAGCCTCGGATCTCAGCCATGTGCTTTGTCCCTGTTCGAAACTAGGAAGACCACCGTTGATCATTTTGCAGTAGAATAGACAGAGTGTTTCCGAAGGATTCTGCTGGCTTTGCTGTCTGTGGTCTAGGTGAATTTCTGTTCAATGCTACTAATCTTGCTCTCATCCAGAGATTCACCTGGAGCATATGGTTTGCATTCTATCCTCCAAATAGAGAAGCAGAAGTGAATACCCCTCTAGGAAGCATGGGTCTCTTACTACTGTAGCCATAAATACCTGTAGTTTTTGTTGAGTCTTGATTCAGATCTAGATTACTGTCAATACCACATTTATATTGCCTGCTCTATTCACTCTATGCCACCTTCCCTCCAAGGCGAGCTCATTCATTATACTCTTATTTCATCAACTTCGACTTACTTCTTTCTTACAATCCACCCGCTTATTTGACTGAATTTTTCTAGGTAGATTCTACAACTCCTGATTATAGAACCTTAAACAAAGAATAAAGGCCTCAGCATGAAGTGCATCATGAGTATGCTAGTACAGTGTCTATACTGATCTAAGACTGGGACAGTGAAGTTATAATCTCTCAAAGGGTTAGTGTCCGAATAATACCTGTGACTATTACCAGCGAGGTACTTACCTCAGCAGATGCAGATACTAGACGGTGGGAGAATATGCTCAGGCTTATAAAGAGCTAGTTTATCTGAAGACTATATGAAGTGGTGGAGCAAGTTCACAAACATGCAAATTAGGGATACCAGAATTGCCATTCGCGACTCACTAAATGTGGTCACCAAGGAGATTAGGGCTTGGAAATGGCAGCTTGTCCCTCTGAATATTCTAAGACCTGTCACAAGGCAAGCAATCGATCTGCTACGCCAGTAACCCAAAGATGGTGACTATGCAAGTGTCCCGGAAAGCAAGGTCCTTGAGACAGACAACTTCCATAGCTACTAATACGGCCTCGCTCAGCAGCCCAGCGAGGTCAATGCTGTGCTATGGCTAATCCAGACCCTGCTGTGAAGTGATAGGGAGCTCTAGGTATGCACTCCCATAACCCACCGAAGCCACCCATCCCGGCGCAGCGCCCCGATATGCCAGAAGATCATCTAGCAGTACTTGTCTGGTTGTTATCAGCTCGACTGCGTCAACAGGACCATCAAGCCGGTAAGTATTCCTTGATCGAGTGTATCCTGTGCCTTGCTAATTTCGCCTGGCATCCAAGTATTATACCCCGTTGACCTTCCATGACGAGTACCGGGCCGCGGGTGTTCAGGACTATGAAGGCGCCGTAACTAGCACCTGGAATCTCGTACTCAACCATTATTTTGATTGGAGTAATGATTTTGTCCACGGGACAGAGGACAAAGTCCAAGGCGCATATGAGCAGCTACTTATGGGTAGTTCGGCCGAAACCAGCTAGGCGGGTGATGTGGCCAGGACACACAGACGACTGCGATCCGAGAGGGTGCCTGTGTGGCTTCGGTTAACTCACAACAAAGAGCAGGAAGTAACGCCCACTGAACACATCCCCGCCCTTCGGGGCCATCCTCGCACGAAGACTCTACGCAGATCCAGAAGTCGAAACTGAGCTCAGTCCTCCTTGCCGAAGACTGAGAAGCAGCCTGGAGACACATTATCCAATGGAGATCTGCCGCAGCTGAGTCCATAAAGCTTAGCCTGAGCATTCTTGGTCACATCACGCACGCGCAATCTCAGAAGTGCTTCTGTGCAAGCCTCACCCCGTTCTTCTCAACAGATTTTCAATGAGATTGTTTACAAGACTCCGAAAATCAAAGACTTTACCGGACTTATCTACGAAGACATCAATTCGGAGGATGGTTCATTGCTCTGTAAGTCACTAGTAGACGAGAGATGAGGACGCTAAACTGAACAACACAAAAAGATCAGAAAGCAAAAAACATACAATAGCCGGGATTCGCTGGTGGTCAGGCACCCAACTGACCAGCTGGCGTTGGACTGAACGGTTAATAGCATCAGACACAAGCTATAGAAACACTGAGTACGTAGTATCAGACTGTAATGCGATGTGAGCATGTTATTACTTGATCCTACGGCTATGTAGGTATTCTGATGATGATTTTGACGTGGAAGTAACGATTGGTATGGACCAAGGAGCTTCATGGCGTGTCTTTCCAGTCTGCTTTGCTAGACCATAACTCATAACGACATAACCTTGCATGTCTGTAGTAGAATGTGCGCCCAGAGATCAGCGCAAACCACACAAGGCCAATCAGATCACAAGTGAATCAGCAGGCAGAAGAGTCTGCCAACCCCTAAGAGCCTCGCGAGTTATAGCGTTGCCCCGTCCAAACATTCAAATAGGAATATATTCGTGTACACATCATCTCCAGTTGTGGGCGACTTCCATCCCAGGCACTTCCAGTGGTCCGCCGACTTCCATCCCACCAGCACACCAAAAGCAGCAACTTCATCCACGTGGTTGACGCCATGCATATATTCGCGACCCCGGGAGCGCTGCGCCGCGATGTAGGATTCCGGAATCTCATCAATGGTGAAAGTCACCGATTCCCTGGCCAGCTGAAATGCGCGAGAAAGGTCCAAAGACAGTTCAATCGTATCGAGGTAATGAAGGGCTCCGATGCACACAATGTGATCCACGGGGTCCACCCACTCTGTCAATACATGCTGTATGGGGCCAACAAGGACGCGCTCATACCAGCCGTGATGAAGGCATTCCGTCCCCATCTGTGGGGATAAATCAACTCCAATAAATCTGGTGGAAGAACTGCGATGATCTCCAGAGGTCACTCCCTGGGCTTCGCCTTTCAATCTTGCGAAAAGTCCCGTTCCGCAGGCGAGATCCAATAGTACCCCGTCGTAGTTGTACTTGGTCGCAATCTTCCTGACATTGTCATGGTAGATCCTGTGTGTCACGGCGTCGTATTTTGGAGAAGACTATTGTCGGCAAGTGTTTTTCCGATGATCTCGTTCACATCGTGATCGACATCGAGGATCAGCCATTGTGGGTCCTTCAGCTAAGCCATGTTTCTATAGTTCCCCACTACCTACGTACCTTACAGTAGTACTTTGTTTAACCGCCGATCATTTCACCATAACAGAAGGTGAGGCAGGTACCTAAAGCTTGTATCGGCGTGAAGAAACAGCTAATCCGGAGTACAGCGCTCGAGACCATTCTCAACTGGATCCACGTACGTGTGCAAACTATCAAGCCCCCACATAGTATACATAAGTTCATAACACTAAGGTAGGTAAGGTAGGTAGCCGGGAACCCCGATCTCGATTGGTGGTCCCGGGTAAGTGGAACAGGGATCGGCTCCAGCTGTGATAGATCATCGACAATGGCTTTAGCTGCAGTATTTTCCTTTTGTGATTATGCCGACTAACGAGATCCTGTCTACCTTAGCTTCAACGGGGTTAATGATAATGATGCCATGCCATGCCGTCCATGGGTCGAGTCGATGAATAGTACCTAGGTATCTATATCGACCCTCTTCCACCCCTCATTCTGGTCAATCCGCAAGTTTGTAACCCCCTCCATCTTAGTTTGAGGACTATTCAAGATGAGGATCTGTATCCTGCAAACCGCCTTCACCAACCCTCATGCAGCGGAGGAGTGTAGTCCTGTCCATGATCCAGGCAACTTCACTGATCAACACACGTTCGATCACGTATGGATTCACAAACACACAGCCAAGGAGCAGATAGACGGGGGGCGGTCTCCAAGGGCTATGATTTCTACTTCAACTTCATGTGGGGGCAGCATGAGGACGACCTTTCTGGAATTGACGCGTGCAAATACTTTGAGAGCCTAGGCCTGCCCTCCGTTGGCCAGCGCAGCGAGGTTCTTGAGCGGTCCAAGAACGACTTGTACAAGGATGCCCGCGCGCTCGGCTATCCCCGCGTCCCTGGGACAACACCTCCGGACTCGGATTCGGATTCTGCATCCAGCAATATTCAGACACCCTCCTCGTCCTCCTCCTCATCATCACCTGAACCATACTCCCTAACTGGTATCGAGCTGTCCCAGGGAAGGGCCAAAAAATGCTGACAAACCGGCGTCTACGAGAAGGTCCACCACGGAGCCGTACAGGCCATTCTCCCGACGCTGGGCCCGTTCGACCACATTCTCAATTTGTCGGTGTTGTACTTTTTGTCTCCGGTCGATTTCTCCCTTACTATGGTCCGGTCGTTCCAGCTCGCCCGGAAGAGTCTGGTCGGGTGGATCGATGAAATTCCCGAGACTTACATGGCGAAGCTCCTGGAGATGGGACCACCCCATTCGCATATGATCGGGTTTAACCAATTGGAAGACATGGAGAAGATGTTCTGCAATCTGCCGCCGCCGGGATGGAAGCTCGCCGAGAAGTTCCGGCAGTCTGAATAGCACTCGCCGGTCACTGGTGTCGAGGTATATGTGACGGTATATCATTTCCAGAGGGGGACGTCCTGGATCGGCTAGGGATTTGGTGAGATACCAGGCAAAAACGGTGCCAGTTGGAGAAAGTTACTGCCCTCGGTGATGAGGAGAAAGATGAAGAGAGTAAGGATATGTTTTTTGAGAGGGCTTAAATTTGGCATTGGAGGGTTGATGACTCGGCAGAAGAGCCGAGTGCTCGTCTGGTATAATATGTGAATCGCACATGCCTGGGATGTGTTTGAAATGTGTCGAGGGAGATGGATAGAGATTGTAGAGACCAGAAAGAGTGGGGGTTGTCGCTGTATCATCACCCTATTTGGAATCTAGAGGAACTGAGATAGTAAAAGGCCAAGAGTGAACAGGCAGGAGAACAATATAAAACGGAAGCAGTAACAAGAACCACCATCATCAGTCATAGGCCCTGCCAGCAGGACATTGCAGTGCCTGATATATCTATCCAATTAAGGCTTACGCAATGTAGCCTATCTCGAAACTTTTCCATGTAAGGGAATGACTTAGTGTTGAGGGGTTGCTGGTAATTCGCCATGTGATATTAACCGTTAGATCCCAAGCGATTGGGTGGATTGGATATGGATTCACCAACCAAGGGAGGTCAACCAGTAGACTAGGACTCTGGGCAACGGGCGGACGGCCCGCTTCCATGACCAGATCTGCTGCCATGTGCAACACCCTTTAAACTAGGGTCCAGTGACATGGTCTGACACCCCCCTTACCCAATTATGTAGGGGATAGTTATACAACGACTCTAGATAGGTTAGGCTTAACACCATGACTTTTAGTACTATTCAGTAGCGTATTTACTGCACATAGCATAGTATTAGGAGCAATGTAAGCAGACTGGAGGAGAGCTGCTTAGGGCATTCCTACCGAGCGAGAGGTCCTCTTCTAAGCTGCGAGATCCTAGTACGACTTCATTGTTTGGTAATGATAGATCTGTGCGCTGATCAGAAAGAACCGCTTGGTCTTCACCAAGCTTTTCGGGTTCTCCCAGATTTATGTTCGGAATCGAAAGAAACTATCATCCAAGTGAGGCAGTGGCTCGCGACAGGAGGGTCGCTGGTGGTTCGCCACGTGACACCTATATCACCTTAATAATACCGTAGTTATTACCTACTATCTTGCAGAGCCTCTTCCTTACTAGGAAACCCCTAGATACGGGGTAGATCACTGTGGTGATCTCCTATGGGATTACCTGCGAGATGCATTCTTAGTCATGCATGATTGTGGTTCCCCGTGATTTTATCATAGAACCATCGAAGATAGAGATATGCAGGCAGCAGGCTTCACATCCACCATCAAGGTCCATACGTTCTAGCTACCGACAATCGCCTCCAGCCTGCTTTCAGTTCACCCTACTCTAACCTATAGAAAGAGATGATCCATTAGATATATTTACCTGGCAGAATTCAGTATATATATAGACTTCAGTAGTTTATTTAATCTATTCAACATCTATTCTGTTATTGTCAGGTTATATATCGAGTCAAGCAGAAGGTTGTCTGTTGCAAACCCAGCTTCTGAATTCTGATTAAGTTAATTTTGATTAAGTCATAAAAAGCAGAATCATATAAATGTACTTGTTGTCAACGAGTCTCAGGAACAACCACTCAATTCAATGGTGCATTATAACTAGCAGAAGAGGAAATCGTGTAAGTCCGTAGTCTATACAGTTGTGTCATAAGTTCCTGCGGTCGCTTCGTTTCCATTCATATGCAGTCACGTCTTCTTCTCTTTCGAAGTGGCAGATTCTTGATCAGTTTTGGCAGCTTGATGTTGTGCCTTGAGACTTTCGCCGACTTGGAAGATAGCTCGTTCTGCTTCAAGTGCGAGTTCAGGCGCATCAAGGATGGAAGCCAGTTTCTTAGCGTCGGCCATATCGAGTAATAATCTGTCCTCGCTCCGCTCCACTTCTTCAACCATGCTTGAAGCGGACTTTTCGGAGTCACCGAGCACGCGGGCTACGCGTTTTGCGTATAGTTGCTCCAGCCCTGGAAACGAGATTGGGTTGAGCAAATCTTTCTCAACTAGGTATTCTAGATGCTTGGAACCATTCAAGGCTTCGATGTGTCAGCGAAGAAATGACTTTGCCTGAAGGATGGATGGGCGGACCTCGCCAATGCGACCAGCCTCGGTACGCAAGATAGAAGAAAGGGATATTAGGAACACTATGAAAACAGTCAGCGCCAACGTCATTTGTACTCGGCCAGGCACAAAGCATACACTGGAATCAACGCAACTGGAGCTGTGAACGGAGCTGCAATCAAACTCCACCACATTTTCTTGTGATGCAAGTCCTGTCTCTCTGTCGCTATTTTTCGGAGAATTGAGCGAAGGTTCTCTGCCTTGATCGCATTTCCGGGGAACAGAACGTCGACTTTCTTCGTCTCAGACGACTTATCGAGTCTCCTCTGGGCCTTGAGAGAAGGAACGCTTTTCAGGCCCCATTCTTCAAAAGGGATGCGCTGCTGGACCTTATTCCCCCAAGTCACAAGGTGTTTCTTCCAACCTTTATCAGCTTCCTCCCATTTAGCCCATGTTTCCGCGGCCTTGTTCGTGACGCGATCGAGTACCGAGAGCTCCTTGGCGATATCCCTGCTGAGGGGCCGAGAGTAGATCAATGCTCGTTGCGTCGAGATTGGCACCACGAAGAGTCGCATAGCGAAATTGCCAGGTGAATGATGGTAGATTATTTGTGCAACAGTGTTTAATCACTGTTGCTCGGGAGGAATTGTTCGTAAGTCAGGGGATTCGGGACGATTATCGATTGGCTTGACAGGACAACCGATCAAAGAGAGTCTGTAAAAGTAGCATACCTTTGGCCTCTTTGTAATTGCCCCCAAAGATATATTTTCTGTTGTCTGTGGCAAAAGAAGATTGTTGAAGAGAGGGCTTGTCCTTGTTGCTACTAGCTAACCTAGCAGGATTATTATGAGGAGACGTCATGTTCTCATAGCCTGAGATCTGATCCTCGGAACATCAAACGCTCGTCGCGGCTGTGTCCCCAACCTCTTCACTATTGTTGTGATGGGCTCCAGCCCTGCAGTAATTGTTTTTCCCCTACCTTCATTTTCTCTTCAATACACTCGTTTCAGAAATAAAAATTTCCGATAGCTGGGTCTTGGTACTGCGCCTCCTTTTACCACAGGGAATTTGAGGCGATGCAGACTGGATCCATCATCTTCCCGCAAACTCCGAGAGTCCGACGCATCCTCCCTGGGAACAATCGTTGCTTTGGTGGGCAATGGCACAGGATGTGCGCGATTCCCAACAGCAGCCTCTGAGACTTGAGCATGCCTTGGACGTCGGTATCGCAGAGAAATCTCCGCAGTCATTAGAACCGCCAACCCGTCTTACAAACGGACTCAAGAAAGACAAGCGCTCCGAAGACCCTCCACGCAATGGCACATCAGATGCGTCGGCTGGTGCCTCGCAATCTATAGAAAACGCCATCGCAGATATTGGTGGCAATAGTTTAGAACTCGGGAACAAATTACGCACATTACCTGGTAAATAGACATCGGCATTTCCAATGGGAGAGAGACTGACTGACTTGGCTCACGTCCAGCATGGATTCAATCTTATGAAACTGCGAACGATGAAGCCGAGGCGTCGGCTACAGCAAGACTCCTACCTCCGCAACCCGATGACGCCCTTGTTGCCCAACATAACCACTCCCCTTATGCGACAACGAGACCAGACTATACCGGAGAGCAAGGCTTTGACGAAGAGACTGGCTTTGGCCCACGTCGCGAATCCCGGTGGAAGTCTTTCTCGAAGGCAATTGCCTATCCACTAGAACCTGGCCTTGAAGAGAAGCTGGTAACACCTGAATGGCTGAATCAGAACCATACGGACTTCTCGCAACCATGGCGAGGGCAATTGGAGCCGAGTGAAGATACCGAGGATCCGCTCAAAATGAAGCGACGCAGACAGATCTGGTTCAAGCGCTTCCACAGCACTTTGTTGAAGAGCCCTATAGTACCTGTGATCTTTCGGCTCACCGTCTGGTGCTTCTCTCTTACTGCCCTTGCCCTTGGAGGGTCTATACAGCATCTCTCAGACAAGTACCAACACCCCCAAGGCCCGTCCGCCTTGATGGCTATTATCGTGGATGCGGTCGCGCTCGTCTATCTGGTGTACATCACATGGGACGAATACACGGCCAAACCACTGGGGCTACGCTCTCCGGCTGCAAAGGCCCGACTGATTCTCCTGGATATATTTTTTATAGTGTTCGACTCAGCGAACCTAAGTATAGCATTCGAATCATTATCCACGGTTAGTGGCGCGTGTAAGCTGGCAGAGATCAATCAGCAGATCTCCCAGAAGAATGATGCGATATGCGACAGGCAAATAGCACTTGCCTGTGTCCTGCTGGTTGCTCTGTTGGCTTGGCTCATGACTTTTTCAATAAGTGTTCTTAGGTAGGACACCACCATTAATCTCATAAATGTGCATTGCTGACGGCCTTCGTTACCAGACTCGTTGAGCGAGTTGCCCAGTGAAACTGTTTTTTTCAAATCGCTTTTGTGTTTGAGTGCTTTTGTCGACGAACTTTGCTACGCCCAGAGCTCCTTTTGCTCCCTGGATTCAACCTTTCTGTTCAATTTTGCTTGATATGTTTCCTTTGTTTGTGGCATCTAAGGTATTTTTTCTTAGTTCATTCTATCACGTTGGAACGTTAATTTCCTTGCTGGGACACTGCAGCCAACATGGATTATGGGACGTGGCGCTACACGGCGGAAAAATCAACGGTCTAACGCAACCAACGATCTGACCAGCTTTCTTTGACCCGCAATGCAATCAGCGTTAGACATGCAACACAGGGCCATCGTCCCCGAATAGAGGATCTTTATGGAACCAGCCCAAGTCTTTGATGCCCTTGACCTTGTCTTCCTCTCCTGACTGTCCATAACACATATCCCATTGCTTCTGCTTCGGATATGCGCCCACCATCTTGAACCGCTCCTCTTCAGTGTCGAGCTCATCCAACAAGCGGTGGCCAACACCTGCCGGGACGATGATCAGATCACCCTTTTCGACGATCGTGTCGAACCGATTCGGATTGCCTTCGCCGCCGAAGCAGAGACGTGCACGTCCTGAGACAACCCCAGAACTTCATGGGTCGTGCTGTGGAAGTGTGTCTGGCTATACATGCTGTACACCCATTGGGGAGTGACTTCTCCAACTTCCTCCAAGTGCGTGGTGAGCTGGTTGGGAGATGCGCTGAAGGCCTTGTGATAGATCATGAGAGGCTTTGATTGGATTGAGGTGTTTGGGATTCTTTCCCACTTGGGAATTTGGCGCGAGGTGACCTGGATTTCTGATGGGCTTTTGAAGGACATTGTACTATATTTTGAGGCTCACTGGTTAGACCAGCTCATAGATGACAGTTATGTTGAGCAAATTCCCTTCCAAATCACAGTCAAAGAGTAAGTGATTATGGTATTACAACCAAAGCAGAAGACATAAGCTCTCTCTTTCCATCGCAGGTATTTTAATTGTTGATAGAGGCCACACATGACGTCATCCCGGCTTACAAGTCCGTGATGCTATCAACTGTCTATCAGAAAACAATCCACGGTTCGAGTATTCTGGATGGCGCTGCTGCTCATGGAGTATTTGATTTTCATATGTATGTATATAGTATAGGTATAGGCAGCTACAGGAGAGCCCAGCTATCCAGTAAGCATGAGCCAGAAGCTGTACTAAATTTGAATAGTTCACAAAAGCCTCATCCGTGCCGCTAACACAGTTCGCAAAGATGCCTCGGTGATTTAACTTTTGATATTCGCCTCTCGATTCTAGAGATTCCCCTGTGCTTGATGCCTAAAAGTCTCTTTCGTCAGGTCAAATCTAGCTCTTCGAGCTGAAGTTGATAGATCAATGCCTAGCAGGCACCTAGCGTCGTAGCCTCGTACGCGCCTCAGCTCACTCACCGCCTGCCGCTAATGTAGCATCCCATCATCCCCACGCCTGCGACTCTCCACCATCGCCCAACGCCACGCCTGGTCTCTTTCTTCCTCTCTTCCTGAAAACGCGCGTTACCTGATTTTCTATCCCGGTGTCTTGCTCTTGATCGTGTTATCAAGTGCTTGTCAGTCGGTTCGTTCGGCCTGTCCCCCAGCTGTCTTTCACTACCCTCGTTCTTTTTGCCTCGTGCGCCGCCTTTCCTGAACGGTTCTCGCAAGGCATTACCGCCGGCGCTCTCACCGTCTGCCGCTGCAAGTTTCTTTAACGTCTCGAGGCTCAAACAGTGTCGTTTGGCGATCGAAGTGAGCATTCCAGTTCTGCCGATTTGATTTTCCTATTACTTCATATTTGCCCTTCCGGTAGTCGCCAACTGATCGCTTTGGACCGGTGACCGTTGTCTCATCTGCTGACCTTCACTGCTTCGTCATATCAAGATCGAACTCCTCCCATCTTCAAGCTCAAGGCAGCATTATGCCTCCTCTAATGCCCCAGACTCCTCACAAGGATGACCTTGACGAAACGTGAGTTCGCCTACACCGACACCTCGAGCTCCACCGCCTTTCGGATACACGTCATATGGCTATGACTCGGAATCTGGGCTAATTCAAGTAGATGGACATTCCTGGAGAAGGGTATTGACAGCGTTATGCTGAAGCTGGAGGAGGGTGTGGATATGAAAACTGTATGTCTCTGTCCTTATTTCCCACCAGTTTCTCGTCTCCATGGAGAGTGTGTTTTCTCTGTGTTACGATGCTGACAGTCGCGCCGTTCTGGTGTAGTACATGGCCCTGTACACGTATGTTCGAACTGAGGTTCCCATCTTCTCTTGGAACTGAGTTAACTAACCCCTGTGATTAAGCGCCGTACACAACTTTTGCACATCACAAAAGGCAGTCAGCAACGGGCAAGGATTACAGGCGCATCGTGGTGGTTTGTCTTTCGGTCCCCTATGCGGGTGGTATGTCGGCTTGTGATGGATTGTTCTGACGATTTTTCTACTCTAGCACACTTGTTGGGCGAGGAATTATACAAGCTACTAGGGGAGTACTTGTCACGCCACCTTGAGGCCGTGTACAGAGAGTCCCAAAGCCATACCGAAGAAGCCTTGTTAGGGTTTTACATTCGTGAATGGATTCGTTACACAACGGCCGCCAAATATGTCAACCACCTCTTCCGGTACCTGAACCGCCACTGGGTGAAGAGGGAGATCGACGAGGGCAAGAAGAATGTCTATGATGTGTACACTTTGCACCTCGTCAAATGGAAGGACGATTTCTTCATGAAGGTCCATGAGAAGGTCATGGAGGCCGTGTTGAATCTGATCGAAAAGCAACGAAACGGCGAGACCATCGAGCAGTCGCAAATCAAGAACATCGTAGATTCTTTTGTGTCTCTCGGTCTGGACGAGAATGATAGCACCAAGTCTACGCTGGAGGTTTACAGAGTATACTTCGAGAAACCCTTCATTGCTGCGACCAGAGTCTACTACGAGAATGAATCCCGCCAGTTCGTGGCCGAGAACAGCGTGGTAGAGTACATGAAGAAGGCGGAGGCTCGCCTTGACGAGGAGAAAGCCCGCGTGGGCCTGTATCTGCATCCAGATATCATGAAGCGTCTCACGGACACTTGCCTTGATGTCTTAGTCACAGCACATTCCGAATTATTGCGGGATGAATTCCAAGTTCTGCTAGACAATGAGCGCCAAGATGACCTAGCGCGCATGTATCGACTTTTGTCGCGAATCAAGGATGGGTTGGACCCTCTGCGGGCGAAGTTTGAGACTCATGTCAGAAAAGCGGGCTTGGCTGCAGTCGAGAAAGTTGCAGCGGAAGGCGAAGCGTTCGAACCAAAGATGTATGTGGATGCGCTCTTACAAGTCCACACCAGGTATCAAAACCTTGTCAATGAGGCTTTCAACGGTGAATCCGAGTTTGTGAGATCCTTGGATAACGCCTGCCGCGAGTTTGTCAACCGCAACAAGGTCTGCAAATCCAGTTCGACGAAATCGCCGGAGCTGCTGGCCCGATACACCGACTCTCTCTTGAAGAAGGGCTCAAAGGCTGCGGAGGAGTCTGAGTTGGAGGAGATGCTCGTACAGATCATGACCGTGTTCAAATACATCGAAGACAAGGACGTCTTCCAGAAATTTTACTCCAAGATGCTGGCTAAGCGGCTGGTACACGTCAGCTCGGTATCCGACGATGCGGAGACTAGCATGATCAGCAAACTGAAGGAAGCCTGCGGTTTCGAATACACCAACAAGTTGCAGCGGATGTTCCAGGACATTCAGATTTCGAAAGATCTCAATTCCAACTACAAGGATTGGCAGGATAAGGTCCTCGACGAAGACGATCGGAAGAAGCAGGTCGACGCGCACTTTCAAATTCTTGGAACTGGGTTCTGGCCCCTCAATCCACCTACAACCGGCTTTTCTGCACCACCCGAAATCGTCAAGACTTACGAGCGCTTCCAGAGTTTCTACTATGACAAACACAATGGTCGAAAGCTGACTTGGCTCTGGCAGCTGTGTAAGGGCGAAGTCAAAGCAAATTACATTAAGAACACGAAAGTTCCGTACACTTTCCAAGTGTCGACCTTCCAAATGGGTATCCTCCTCTTGTTCAACGAGAATGACACCTTGACCTACTCGGACATCCAGAAGGCTACCAGCCTCGCCCCGAAATTCTCGACCCCAATCTGGGAATCCTGCTTAAAGCGAAGGTGCTCCTTCCAAGCCCTGAAGGGGCCAAACCCGAACCTGGAACTTCATTCTCCCTGAATTACAACTTCAAGAACAAGAAGATCAAGGTGAATCTAAACATTCAGATCAAGTCAGAACAGAAGGTAGAGTCAGACGACACCCACAAGACAATAGAGGAGGACCGAAAATTACTCCTCCAGGTATGTTTTTCCCAATATCTCCCGCCGCCTCGTCCGCAACTAATCGAGCCATCCAGTCCGCCATCGTTCGCATCATGAAGTCCCGCAAGAAGATGAAGCACGTACAGCTCGTACAAGAGGTCATTCAGCAGGTCAAGTCCCGCTTTCCCCCCAAGGTGCAGGATATCAAAAAGAATATCGAAGCTCTCATGGAGAAGGACTATATAGAGCGGTTGGACGGGGATGAGATCGCTTACATCGCGTGATTTTATACCATTTGCTTGCCACAACCTTTTGCTTCTGCTCAACGCCTCATCTTAGCGCTGATATTTGTCTTTTTAATCATCCGGTTTCGCTTTGGCACAGGCTCCGGTTTCATCACTAGCAGGGACAAGAGATGTATTGCTTTCCTATAGCGAGGATATGACAATGATTACCCAACTGACCACGATTAAATAGACGGGTTGCTTCTTTGGTCTTCCGATCAATATGTTCTCCAGTAGGCACTAACTATTATGCCCAAAAAGGCGCACTAAAATACGAGACCAGGGTTTGGTAGGTATGGTTACAATTCCTCATTGGGCTATGAGGTTCATCACAGCTTCAGTATCCAATCATCACAAACTTTGTACAGTACAGCGAGCCAACCAACCAGAATAATGGTGAAGCAGAAACGCATATACAAGCAGGTGGCTTTGTTCATTAAATCCAAAAAGTAAGATGGTATCAATGCAAGTGTATGTAGGGGGTAAATTATCATCAATGTCAGCTCCGTTCTCTTGGGTATCCAAGCTTGCAGGAGGGCGAAAAGAAAAAGGAAAGGAGGAATAGTCATCTTTGCATGAATTGATAATTAAAGGGATGAAGCGCTCTGGTTAGAAGAGAGTTATGACGCAAATGCATTATGCTTGATAAACATCGATCTTCGAGCCGCCTTGTTGTCAATGCTCGAGAAGAGAATGCAGGGCTGAAGGGCAAGGTCTAGTTGGAATTCGAGGTCGATGTGCTGGGTGGTGCGGGTTCGGCGGAGGCGGACGGTGCTTTATCACTTGACGGATGAGAGGCTAATTCTTCTGCTAGCTTTTCGTCTGCAGGCTGTTGCTTCTCGACGATATCAGTACTTGCGGATGTCTCAGGCTCCTTTTAAACTGGAGATTGAGTAGAAGAATCACTGATTTTAGGCTGAGTTGACTGTGCAATGTCGTCTTCACCAACTGAGGTCCCTCGGGACAAGGGCGACTTTGGGTATGGATGACCCTGTTCGCTGCTGTCCGGGCTGCCTTCTTCTTTGGCGTTGGGGACTCCGAACTCCCCACTTTCCCGTCTCAGAAGGATATTGCTCCATCTCTTCCGTCGACTCCGGCTGCGTGAGAGGGTAGCTGATGAATCTTCACTTTGGCGTTGTTGCTGCATAGAGCGGCGTCGGCCTCTTTCCGAGTCATCACCTTCGACTATACTAGACAATGTAGGCGTGGAAGGAGAGGTGACAGAGGACGGAGACGATGGGGTCGCCTTCTTTTCCTGCCATTCTTTGCGTTTCTCGCTGGCCCACGAGCTCCATGAACTAAGATATGCGCCAGCTTTCTGACTCACTGCGTTGACGGATGCTTGCGCCTGTGCAATGTCCACAGCGGGGGCCTTTCGCCCACCAAACCAGGAGCCTGTGGCTGAAGTGACCGACGCTGTATCTAAGGACGGCCGAGGTTGGTCCATCGAAGATCGTTGCGACTGAAGAGCTCTCTCCTCATTCCGCTTCCGTTGTGCTTCCCGCATCGCCTCGATATCTGCCCAAAAACTGTTGAATGCAGCGCTGACTTTCTTCTGGCCGGTTGCGAGATGCCTGTTCAGAGCCTCGCGGCCCTCACGCACCCGTTCGTCCAGGTGAAGCTCCGCAACCTGTTGCGACAGCCGTCGCTGAACGTCCTCTATGGTGAGACCACCCGCGCAGGGATGACGAGGCTCAACGATTGAGAATAGAAGAGCATCGGACGTCAAGCGTTTAAATAAGGCGTAATTGGAGGTAGTTTGCCAGTGTGCCAGGAAATCCGGATTGAAATCCGACGCCGGATCGCCCTCGATATTGTATGCTTCCAACTGCGCCCTGCTCCTCTGACCTGATTCACCGCTACTGAAAGAGTGCAGCTCCTCGTGGTATTTCACGGAGGCCAGCAACGCAAGTAGATACTCCTCGAATTGGAGTCTGATGAATTCTTCGGAACCCATGTATCCGTGATCCTTTGGTCGCTCAGGATGCGATTCATCCCAAGTGTCGTTTATGATCTGCGTAAGGAGGTCAATCCAGCGCCTGTCGGCGGCGGAGAGGACCAGGGCGCTTCGAAGGGAGGGTGATGAGATAGTGATAACGTCCTCGTCAAGCTGAAATACGTCAGTATCCGAACAAGATGCTTCCTGGTGATAAAGTGACCGCTTACATTAATCAATATATCGCTATAACGATCTTTCTGTTGTAAAAGGAGCGAGTTCGTAGATCCAACAACGTACGACTTCGTCCCATGATCCGCCAGCAGATCCAGCTGCTGAAGTGGTGTATAAGGTCCGAACATGCTTCCCTAACGCAGTATTAGCGATGCTCGATCTCGTGTCCTGCGTAACAGCGAACCTTTCCAAATATCTGCAACGGCAAACCCATATATGCCAGCACTTTTATCTGTTAGTTTAGTTTACCATAAGAGTGGCGTATAGTCACATACAGGACGCTCTATCACTCGTCTTCAAGGAAGTTGGCTTCCCCACAGTCTGCGCATAGCTATCAGCGGCCGGATCAGCGCAATCCTGAAGGCTATTTATTAGGCCCGGGATTAGTGAGATAAGTGAGAACTGAATCATGCATAAACGCTCGCATCGTGAGCCGAAGAAGAGCATCTAAATAAGGTTAGATATGCCATACAAGCCGCATGATCATTGCATACCTTTGGCTGCAGAAGTAGAGCTTTGAACAACACAAGAGTCTGGTACTTGAACTCGTGTATCATCTCCCGCAGAGAGAGACCTTTCCACAAATTAGCTACCCATTCCGGTCTGCATCACGAAACAAGTCTGTTTTTACCAAGATTCTGATCTTTCGATGCTTCATTCTGTTCCCAGCTGATTATGAGTCCTTCACGAAATTTCTAGCGCATGCGTTAGCATGCTTGTGGTTTTCGACACAATGCGAGTATCAAGCCAACCTTCAGGATGTCGATGTCCGAGAAGTCCCTGTTATCACCGCACTCAATCAGCCCTGGCCCTTTTCAGCGAGGCGTCCAGCATCCCAAACCATCACTTAAGGCAAACATGGATATTGTCAACGTACCGCTGCGCGAACCAAGCCGAAGTCACGACAGAGAGCTTCTCCCTCAGTTGCCCCACGCTCTGAGGGGTATCCGTAATAACGACGACGGCCTTTTGCACAGTGGACCTAGTCACATCCGCAGGACGGTTGATAAGCAGGTTCGAGTCGAGCTGTCGTGAACAGGCGATTCCAAACAGAGATGTTGCCGGCGCCGTCTCGGTCTCCTTCTTGCGTAGGGTAAAGTATGAGAATTCCTCGGTGGATCTGGTACGCCGAAGACGTTGAGTCAATCGCAAGACTTCGCTTTGTAAGGGACAATGGGGAAGGGAAGGGTGGCTTCGTACGCATGCGCCCCGTCCGACAACGCCATGAACGGTAAAAGAGACCAGTCATTCTTTGTTACTATATCGATGTCCTCCTCTCCGATGCAGAGTTCGATTTCCGGGCCCCTATTATTTGTCGAAGATGAATTTTGTCAGCTGGCGGTGCCTTTCAACCATAAGAGAGTTTTCCAGAAGCATCAAACGTGAGATATAGGGGGAAAGGCGCAGACAATGCGCACTATGGAATTATCCTCGTCGCGTCCTTTGCCCCCTCACAGCTCTCCTCTTCAAGAGAACACGATACAAAGCGGACTCCATTGTGTTCCTTGAGACGACTCACCTCGCATGGTGGAAATCAATCACCATCACAATGGGGGCCTGGCGGCCTCGAACACCAGACATTCCGCCGAAGCGTCATGCAAAGCCGAGGGGCACACTGAGGACCAGGACGTTGACACGTCTGAAGCTATATCCTCTTTTGGAAGAATGCGAGCACCTCCGGAAGAAACGAGGAAGTGATGAAACGGTTTTTCACACGGAAGATAGAATACTGCAGTGATAAATGATACATGCAAAATGTGAGCGTTGTATACGTGCACCTTGACTGCTAAAGATATGCAACCAGGGGAGACGAATCACAGTCTGCAGGCGGGAGAGCGGTTATCGAGTCAGCGATGTGTATTTCGGCATAGCCCCGCCACGATTATCCAAGCTGTTGCTCCGGGGTAAATCGCTTCGTCTAACTACGTCAGAGGTATGCATTATTGCCGGCGCATTTTTACTGAACTCAATTCTCTACGTACGAAAAGTAAACACGATATCGATGTCGTATGACATTGGAACATTCTGTTCCGTGAACCAATATGAAATCAGATTGCATCCTGTGCCCTAACGGCTGCTGTAGGAATCTTCTCCGACCATCATCTCCAACTGGGCCAACGATCAACATCATAATTGTAATTAGACATTTCCATCCAACAGGGATTCATGAAACGTAACGGTGTGTATGTATATAAGAACAGACAATGGGACAGCTCTGTGTTGGAGACAATACTCAAGGAGTAAAGGTAAGAATGAACAATCTGAGTTCCCACGCCCTCCGGCTCTAACGACGCCAGGACGAAAAAAGTAGGAGGTTGAACAGCAGGTCGTGTACATACGCCCGCTTTTAAGGAAGAGAGAAACACAAAAATGAAAAGGATGAAGTAGGTTCAAATGGACAAATCGTAACCTCGTTCCCCGTCTACACAGACCAAAAGAAAATCGTCTCATTAAACAAAATTGTCTGCGCTTCATTTCAGGTGCACATGGTGACCACTCTTACGCATAGTTCTGGTGTGCTTGAGCCACACCTCCTTCCATGAGCACCTGGCCAGCGTCATTACCCTGTTCGATGTTGTGGAAGTCGAGAATCTCCGAGTACCTGCACGTCTAGTGTTAGAAGCCAACGAGACAGTATATTCAACCGAGGTTCAGCATACATCATAATCTTCCAGGTGTCCACGGGAAGGTCGGCGTCATTGAACGACCAATCGAACTTCTCCTCAGCCTCGGGCTCATCGGTAGGGTCATGGTAGGGAGAGAGGTATTCGTGCGCAAGTGCTTCCCCGGCGCGGATCCTCTTCTTTGGATCAAAAACGAGCATTCGCTCCAGAAGATCGACCGCTAAAAGTTATCAGTACCCTATGAGCTCCTATATCCCCAGATGCATAAACGTACCCTCAGGATCAGCGTTCTTGAATTTGTTGGCAAGAGGTTGGCGTTCGCGCTTAGGTAGGGACTTGACAAATCGCAGGGTCTGACAAAGTTCCCCGCATTAGCCAGAGTTCGCAATAAGTAGCAGTCGGAATGTCGGTGTTCCACTCACATTCTCACTGCAGATAGTTTGAATCACATCGTCTGGCGGAGTTCCGAGCAGTTCGGTGATGATAGAGAACTGGTTGACATGGTCCTTCCCGGGGAATAAAGGCTTTCCATCCAGCATCTCGGCAAAAATACAGCCTGCACTCCAGATGTCGACTTCCACGTCATATTTCTGCCATGTAAGCATAATTTCAGGGGCTCGGTAGTATCTCGTCGAAACATAGCCGGTCATCTGAGGGTCTTGGATACGAGCAAGGCCAAAATCGCAAATTTTCAGATCGCAGTTTTCGTTGATAAGGATGTTGCTGGGTTTGAGGTCACGGTGGACGACGCCTGCTGAGTGAACGTATTTCAGACCTCGCTGCAGAATAAATGGTTAGCCTTCAAGTACTGTCTGAACGAGGGAAAAGTCGAGGCACACCAAAATCTGATATAGGAAGTATTGAATGAACTGTTTCTCCAATGGTCTGGAAGTCAAAAGTCGGTGGAGGTCGGTCCCAAGGAGCTCTGTGACAAAGTAACTGTCCACCTGTTAGAATACTGCAACAAGCCCTAGGCTTCGAGGGGGCCGCATACATGTCCTCGAGAGGGGAGATGAAGATATCGCTTAAACTAATGATCTACCAAGGGAATCAGAACACAAATGTGGTGGGATGTTTGCAGTTGGGTGGCCACAAACGTTCTCATGCCGTAAGTGCTTCAACAGCTTCAGCTCGCGGTATGTTCTCTTCGACAAGACAGGAGTGCTGAAAGGCTTCATGATCTTCTTTACAGCCACGGGTTGGCCTGTCAATTGATCTCTTGCGGAGCTATTGTCGCGCGATACTTATTAGCCCATGTGAACAGGCCAAGGGAACCTGACGGCATTGGTTGTAGATGAAAGAAGGGGTATGCCGTGTTCTGCCAACCATACCAGACAAGTCCAAAGGCGCCCATTCCCACCGGTTGCAGATCCGTATACCTGCGATCTTGTTAACACAATTGATATATTGAAGTCTCCTGATCGCGCGCACTGTACCTGCTGGTGATCTCGAAGGTGGTGCCGAAAATCTGGGCACGCACGAACTCGGCCATTTTGGATAATGGTGGTGGACGGAGTACGTCTGGGAATGCAGGACACCTCTCTAACAGTCTCTCCGATTCTTTGGCTCAAGGATCTCAAAATAGTGGAAGATTAACGAATGTATGGAGCCGACAGATGAGGATGTCAAAAACCTATGAAGGAAGGGGGAAAAAAAACAGATGCAGTTGAAGTAACTGCGTAGTCGCGCTCAGAGAGGAAGAGAGGGGAGCGAGGGCGGGCAAAAGCCGTGGCAGCCAGTGGCGCCTAGCAGGTGTGGGGAAGCGAGGCCTCCTAGTCCGCTCAGTTCGAGTCCCAGGAAAATCAAAAACAAGGACGATGACGTCCGCGACGAAAAGTGAGCGTAGTCGAAAAAAGGCCGGTGTGTTTTCGGCCCTAGTGGGTATAGTACCTATCTGTCTAGACCACAACGATTATTAGGTCCGGCCAATTGGTTGGAACACTGTTCCAAATTCAAGGAAAAACGGCACCATCAGGGTATCATCATCATTATAACGCTGCATAAATATCAAGAATGCCATAAAGATCGTCTGGAAAATAGATCCACGCTCGGAACAAGAGGGGCCTATGTTTTTATCTTTTCTTACTCCGTACAGCCATCTGCGGTCATGAATGCGTGCTATCAACAGGGATCACATCTAGTAACCGAAAAGCAAGTCTTCTACGGAGTATACAGGTCCCTATCAGACTCCTCAACATCATGTCATTGTATTCAGGTTTGCGTTGCTGATGACCAGTATGTCATCTGCGAATAATAATCAGTCAACTTAGCACTATACCTCTCTATAGGCGTCAGGTGCCGACCTGTAGATACAGTCGCATGTCGTCCATGACGCAGTCAGGCAGCTTATTAGAAATCCCCAATGCTGTCCATATTCAATAACAACGCAATCATTCATCATGAGCATAATCCCAGCAGAATAGCTGATCGAAAACAACAGTCCCTAGTACCTTAAGACAGACAACGAGCACAATGGAGCAAGCAGTGCCCTTCCAACTCCAATCACACATTCAGGTCTTCAGACGTCTTCTTTTCCTCTTCACGTCGGCAACGAGGGTAAGCATCACCCAGTAAACAATTCATAATCTTCACAAATGATCATCAATGGCAATACCTTTTCCTCTGAGTATATCACCAACTGGGACAACTGGGATTCGAGATGAGGTTTTAGACCAGACCCAGCATCTTGCTTTGTGATAGATGTCATCATAGTGGGGCTGATCCAGTTCTAACCAGTTCCATCAACCAGGAGAAATCGACTGGGCTGTACCACACCATCATGGAAGAGCATAACACACAATTAAAAGAATCTTGTATGAGAGTCCTTATCGGTTGATCAAGTGCAGTTTAGACATGCGCTCAACTTAAGGATGTTTAAATTATATCATACTCATTATTATGAAAGTAGATAGAAACCTTCCAGATTCAATCCTACGTTAGCTTCATAAGTCATGCTCCTATTCTATCAGGTACCTATTTTACTGTGTTAGCCCCTCATCAGGATCATTCCGGGTTTTCACTCGGTCAAGGCGTTACAAGATCGATACTAGGTACCAGGTAGATGTCTCCTATCTAGATACGGTAGAGGGAAGCGCGCTTAAGTATTAGTCTCGACTAGCAAGTACACAAAGAAATATATCCTCAATAATTACATGATGAGGATCGCAATAATAATCAAGCACAGACTCAAAATATGGATCTGCCCCGAACCCCTTTTCGAAGATGTGCAAACTATTTTTGAATCTCTCCTGCCCCCTTGATAAATACTTACCGTGAATCAGCTTTTGCTTCAGCAATCACGGAGGACGACTGATCTAGTTGCTGTAAAGGTCCGGAGGGACAGCGTCCCTCTTTTGTTCGATTCTGGTGTGTACCACTGCATTACAATCCCCTCCGTACAGAGCCGTTGCTATTGGGTACGGAGTACGGATACTCCAAAATAATAGCGCTGCATCAAAATAAAGATCAAGGGTCTCAGTCATGTCACTTTGACCGCTGCAAACACCAAATTTAAAGTTCCTGTCTGTCATCAATAATAGAGTCTTCGCCATTTGCATCCTTGACTTTAAGAAGCTAAGTAGAAAATGCATGGCATAGCTTGTGAAACCCTCCAAAGGCACTCTGCCAGATATATGTACCTTGGAAGGCAGAGCTTCAACTCACCAATCGGGAATGATTGAAGCATAGCCTCAGTATTATTTCGATGCGCCCTGGAATAGCAATCCGTATTACGCCTTGGGATGAGGATCATCTAGGTACAACGCGCGAGGGTTGGTGGCTGTATCGGGACGTACGGTAACGTATACCAAGTCACCATGGTCTAAGCAGTAATACATAGAGTACTGATGCAAGTAGCAATTAAAAAGCACCAGAGAAGTACTCCAATAAATCAAAAGCAATTAAACATTAAGCTTGATTCTCTCAATCACTGCTTCGTAGAAGAGAACAGATCCTTTGAGAGGTAGATGCTGATTATGCGCCTAGAAATAAGGACTGATCAGCTTCCAGTGTTCCGCCATGACAGCCAGACCAGCCTGTAATACCTGCGTTTTCAATGCCTTCGTCATGAAAGAGTAAGGTACCTCCTACCTGCCTTAGGTACCTAGGTAAAGGTAAGTAGGTAGGTAGTCGCTTACTCTGTTACGGAGTAAGCATCGATGTTGAAACTGGCAAGCCTGATGCTGTGAAGTTATATTGGACCCTTAGAATATCTAGGTAGGTACCCTTTTCCTGCTTCACTCTAAACCAGTGGACAGCAGCACAGCCGGAATTTAAAGCATCTCATTCTCTTTCCTACCTTACATTAGGTGACTGTCAGACTTTTACCTGGCGCAGTAGACATATTATTTACCTACTAGTACTCCGTAAGCTTTGCCCAACCACGTTTTTACCAATATTACCCACTCAACTCCTTCTCAGGCTCTCCTCTCTCTGCCATCTCCACTTCAACCTGTCTACTATGAGTATATGACGATTTGGAATATCCACAACTGGGTCATTATACCCTGATACTGATTCTCCAAAGCCACTGCAGACTCACGCTTAATATATCAGATCTTAGTGTCTATCACGTTAAGACATCTGCCATTATTGCAGCTACCTAGGTAAATACCTTGTACCAATTACTTTACCATCATTCTTAGTACTTCGCCTTCGACCCATCCTGATTGCTTACATGATCTCACTTTGAGATCCGCTCTCCATCCACTCTTCCCGATCGACCTTGACTACCCTTTTTAGCGTCGGTTCGTCACTCTCACACACCTGTCTGCTCCGCAATCGAGTCCTGTCACCCCTCACCCCAATCAGTCTACTCGCGGAGAAAAAGCAATAGGAGCTTGGGCTCTTTCCTCACCGACCGAAGCAACATTTCCCTTAGCCTTATTACCTGTGTCACGAGTCACCACTGCCGTCCCACAGCCTGACGGTCTTCACTCTGTACTCGCTTCTTGCGCCTTTAACGAAGACCGGAACTGCTCGCCGTTGCCCTGCAGCTCACTATACCGCGTTCAACTTATTCTTCATCCTCCTCCCGTCGGTCGCAACCATCGTCGAACGCTACTTACCCGTTAATTCCCGATTGCCTGTATACCTAGAGTTCAAAAGTCGGTTTCAACGCCATAGGGGTTGCGCGCAAGAGGCTGCCTAGTTCATGAGTCCTTCCCCGAGTGTCTCGGGTGTCAAGTGTCTCATTAATTGATGCCGCTTACCTGTGCTGGCAGCTAATGCTTTAGGTCTTTCCGCTGTTCTATACATAACACAAAACCTGGCCGAAAATGGGGTCATGTTTCAGCACAGAGTCAGCGGGGGATGCGGAACAAAAGAAGCGAAGTCAGGCCATTGATCGCCGGTTAGAGGAGGATTCCAGGCGACTACGGAGAGAATGCAAGATACTTCTGCTGGGTCAGTTCTGGATTTGCCTGAGTATGATAATGGTGATTGTGCCGTGGGCTAACGGGAGCTTTCCTTTGATTTGTGACAGGGTCCGGAGAGAGCGGGAAATCTACGATTGTCAAACAAATGAAAATCATTCATCAAAATGGCTACACGGTGGAGGAACTTGCGTTATATCGTTTAACCATCTACAAAAATCTCCTAGATTGCACCAAAGCCCTCATCGGAGCTTACCACCAATTCAACCTCCAACCAACGAGTCCCAAAGTCCGCGAATTCATCGAGTTCCTTTCTGAATACAATATCGACCCGGATCCAAACACGCCTCTAGATCCTCGAATTGGAGATGCCGTCACCTATCTCTGGAATGATCCATGCACGTCCACTGCGTTAGAGCATCAGAATGAATTTTACCTGATGGATTCTGCGCCATAGTAAGTTCATTCTTTTGCCTTTTGCTTCTTGCCTTTTAGAGATATGCGCATTGACTCAATCTGCGATTAGTTTCTTTGAGGAAGCGAAGCGCATAGCGGCTCCTGATTATATTCCGAACGTGGCGGACGTGCTCCGTGCTCGAACAAAGACGACAGGTATCTATGAGACAAGATTTACAATGGGCCAGCTCAGCATACAGTACGCGACTGTCTTCCAAGATATTGTCCCTGTCCCTAGTCTAGGCTGCTAACGAGTCCGTAGTATGTTCGATGTCGGTGGTCAGCGCAGCGAGCGAAAGAAGTGGATCCATTGTTTCGAGAACGTCACATCGATCATTTTCTGTGTGGCATTGAGTGAGTACGATCAAGTACTGCTAGAAGAGAGCAATCAAGTAAGTCATTTTCTGTGTTTACTGAACTATGGCTTTCTTCGTTAACCATCTCTAAAGAATCGAATGATGGAAAGCTTGGTTCTTTTTGACTCCGTCGTTAATTCACGATGGTTCATGCGAACAAGTATTATTCTTTTCCTCAACAAAGTGGATCTCTTTCGACAGAAATTGCCCCGTTCGCCCCTCAGTAACTATTTTCCCGATTACTCTGGCGGTAATGATGTGAACCGGGCTGCCAAGTATCTCCTGTGGAGATTCAACCAGGTCAACCGAGCGCACCTGAATCTATATCCACAGTAAGTACCTTCTTCGGGCCAGTAGGTCCAGCTCAGGGAGGTTGACAGACTGAGTTGACCTCGTGACAGTTTGACTCAAGCAACCGATACCACGAATATTCGCCTAGTGTTCGCTGCGGTCAAGGAAACAATATTACAAAATGCCCTGAAAGATTCGGGCATCTTATGATCTTTCTCAATCGCTTCTCGACCATTCCAATCATTCCATTATTGATCTCCTACGTCTTATGACGAGCTTTATCGCCAAAGACACCACATTCACCAACTCACGGCTACGACTCTGCTTTGATTCTCGTTTCAATTCCCCGTTCTTCATCTTGATACTCTCTTATGTTTGGCTGAATGCATAGGCGTTGTGGTGCTCTGCTATTCTTGTCTCGCGTCATTGTGTCAGGCGCTGGGCTGGGTCATACTTTTTGGATATTTGTGGCATGGTGTTTCTTCTTGGTTTTCCGGTGGCTTTTTTCATGGGCAGCAAACTTATTTTGCATTCGGTCGACGACGATTGGCTCTTGGTCTGCTTTTGGGATCTGATGCCGCATATTACCTTCAGTGAAAAGTTGGCGGCCTCGGCACGATTTGCATATATCAAGTGTGAAGCCTTATACTATCATTGTTTATGCTTTCAGACACTTTTATCTACTTTGCCCGCTATGTCTTACCTTTTGCTTCTGGATCTTCCCCTTCATGCATTGCCCGGCGGTCTACTTCGTTTCAGTTACCGACGACCATCCCGATTCCTTCCTCTGTGTTTATAGTGCGTGCAGCGTCTCTTTGCATTGGCCTAATTCTTCTTGCTCTGATAATGATCTTTATCCTCTCATTGCTGGTCAGTTCATCTCTATGCGCGACTGAGATCTGACCACACTTCGCACACCTACCTAAGCTGCCTCTGCATGGTCGTCAGACACAACGCTGAGATAAATCAAGCAAGTCCGTGATGACGTGAAGATATGAGTCTTATCTTTGAAGGGAATACCAGTCGTCCCTCAGAAGCCATCATTGTCTTTCTGACATATGAGGTGGCGATCTACGACAGCCTCGGTTGCTAATTAGAAACAAGGTTCATTTGACTGTATTTATGATATATTAATACCACATCAAATTCTTCAACATACTGAGAATTCTATATTTGGTTTCAGCGAAAATAGATTGGAGGCCCAAGCATACTATAAGGTGACTACAAGACCGTTGATCCCTTGGGCCTGCCCAGCCTGAACGTCTACTGGGTACGCACGTACTCCATCATTAATGCGGGGATCTCCACATCCCAGAGTTGAGACGATATGATCTGGTGAACACTCCTCAAAGAGGGGGACCTACCTTACACGTCGAGAGCGTGCTCTTTCAAAGACACCTTGTTGGGTTAGGGTGAGCACCTCTTAAGTTCACCGAGCGACTGAAAACGAGCAATTTTTCGGTCGCACAGTGGATAGGCTAGTTCCTCATGAACATTCACAAATCTTAAGGTTCAATGGTTCCCCGCCATGTCCTGATAAGATGGTGTAGGCGTCATAGCTTCCTATGTAGGTACGGGGTACTCTAGGTAGAGCATAACGGTGGGCCCTTTTCCCCCTTCTTGAACAAGAGAAATCGCTACTCCGTGGTGCTAATCACTTTCCCCTCGCTCTTACAACTCTCAAAGTACAAGTTGTCACACTCTCTTTTCCGAGTCAATCCGTCCATCATCGTACCACTCCCCACACTAGGTACTGTCCGAGTGCCCAAGATGTTTTAAAACAGGATTTCAGAAGCTCCTGCAAGATGCACATCCTATCTGCCATGAATTATTATTGGTTGAAGCTCGTGCTGTTGGTAACAGTCCATGATGGTCTAGAGTTTTATTGGAGGCTCACGTGTGTCCATTTTGCAGTTCCATCCAGTGGACTGATACACTAGTACCTATGATAACGTCTGTTTCTCTCAATGTACCTTAGTCGACGTAAATGAAGTGCATCTAGCCTACTATCCACTACCCCAGTAACTACTACCGGAAATATGTTGGCTCCTCTTAGATTACTGACGGCGCTTCATTCGCGCTGAACCTCAGTGATGCTCTCTCAACCCCACCATCATTGATGTACCATCACGTCTCTACAACAGATCAACCCAAGAGGTCTCTATCCCGGCCATATACCCTGTCGTTTTGGTGTTTCTGTTCCTGTTCCTGTCTGAGCTCACTTGGCTAAAGCCATGACCTCTTCTTCTCTCTTCTCTGCCTCTTTTCCCTTCCCTCCTCCCCTTCTTAAATAACCCCTCCTTTCTACCACTCTACCATACCTTCCCATCCTTGGATTCTCGGTCGCTCGAGCGATCCTTCTTTTTAAACCTTGCTTTTATACAGTGGCATTGATCCATTGCCTTGTACAATTCTAAGGTCTTATTCCAACTGCGGCGATATAAACTCCATCCAGTTCTGGATCTGGCGTTCTTCTGCAGCACCATCATCATCAATAAAGCTGTCATTCTCCAGTCCCAGATTCTTTGGTAATTCTTCTCTCTTTCACAATGTCCAATGAACGTCGCGAGAGAAGGCCCTCTGTCGGAGCCCCGATGCCCCTCCAAGGCCCTGTCGGCCCTGGCTTCAGCCGGCCGAAGCACAAGCGCACCTACACCGGTTTTGGACCTGCAGAAATTAAGAGCGTCGAGGCCAGTATTCCAGAGCCATTGAGAGAAGCGTAAGTGTGTTCTTTTCGCTTCATTGAAGCTATTGTGTCACTAATATTTCTCGACGCTGATTCAGATGGAAAAAGCATGTAAGCGAACAGGCCCATTGATTGTTTAGCTGAGGAGATTCATTGATGGTTATTGTGATAGTCTGCTACGGGTTTCACGAACAAGGATGAGTTTGAGGTGTGCTTTCCGCGTGAGCAATCGGTGCGTGAGCATTGTGGGCTAATCATCAGCCATAGAAAGAACTGGTCCGTCATGTGGAAACCACACTCGCGCGGTCGCTGTACAATTGCGATGAATTGTGAGTGTATTTCATTGGGCTCACATAAGTCGTTGTCTAACTTCCTCCAGGGCCGCGTATTCGGGCACTGCGCTCGCTTTCAGAGATCGTTTGATTATTGACTGGAATAAGACGCAGCAGCGTCAATCTTTCGCCGACCAGAAGAGGGTCTATTGTAGGTGCTACTGCTTGGACATCCCAATCTGCCTCGTGGAAATTTGCTAAATAATATGTAGACCTTTCTCTTGAATTTCTCATGGGCAGAGCATTAGACAATGCGATGCTTAATGTCGGGATGAAGGATGCTGCCCGGGGTAGGTCTTCACCTTGCAGGACCGTTCAATTAGAGAGTAAATGCTGACATGTGGAAAAGATGGGTTGAAGGATCTCGGTTTTCGAATTGAGGACGTCATCAACCAGGAGCATGATGCCGCTCTGGGAAATGGAGGCTTGGGGCGTCTGGCCGCGTGCTTCCTTGATAGTATGGCGACACTGAACTATCCAGCCTGGGGCTACGGATTGCGGTACAGATACGGTATCTTCAAACAGGAGATTGTGGATGGCTATCAGGTCGAGATTCCTGACTACTGGCTCGATTTCAACCCCTGGGAATTCCCCGGCACGATATCACTGTTGATATCCAATTCTATGGTTGGGTGAGAACGTACCAGGATGAGAACGGCAAGACCATTCACTCCTGGCAGGACGGTGAAGCCGTTCAAGCTGTGGCCTATGATGTCCCGATCCCAGGATATGGGACTCGCACGACGAACAACCTCCGACTGTGGTCGAGCAAGGCAGCCAGTGGCGAGTTCGATTTCCAGAAGTTCAATGCCGGTGACTACGAGAGTGCAGTCGCGGACCAACAGCGTGCAGAGACTATCTCAGCCGTGCTTTATCCCAACGACAACCTCGAGAGAGGAAAAGAGCTGAGACTGAAGCAGCAGTACTTCTGGTGCGCTGCCTCGCTCTATGACATTGTCCGGAGGTTCAAGAAGGCAAAGAGAGCATGGAGCAAGTTCCCAGAGCAGGTTGCAATCCAGCTCAATGACACCCACCCTACGCTTGCTATCGTTGAGTTGCAGCGCATACTGATAGATCAGGAGGGTCTCGAGTGGGACGAAGCGTGGACAATAGTAACCAAGACCTTTGGCTACACAAACCATACTGTCCTGCCGGAAGCGTTGGAGAAATGGTCTGTGCCTCTGATGCAGAACCTACTGCCCAGACACCTCGAGATTATCTACGACATCAACCTGTTCTTTTTGCAGTCCGTGGAAAAGAGGTTTCCCAACGATAGGGAAATGCTGTCCCGCGTATCCATTATCGAGGAATCACACCCCAAGATGGTCAGAATGGCACACATTGCCATCATCGGATCGCACAAGGTCAACGGTGTTGCTGAACTGCACTCGGACTTAATCAAGACGACAATCTTCAAAGACTTTGTGAAAATCTATGGACCAGACAAATTCACCAACGTCACCAACGGAATCACTCCTCGACGCTGGCTCCACCAGGCCAATCCGCGCCTATCCGACTTGATTGCTTCGAAGCTTGGGGGCTACGACTTTTTGAAAGACCTGACACTTCTCGATCAGCTCGAAGCTTATGTCGACGACAAGGCCTTCCGATCAGAATGGGCAGAGATCAAGACTGCCAACAAGCTGCGACTCGCTAAGCATATCAAAGACACCACGGGCTACAGCGTGAATCCGAATGCACTGTTCGACGTCCAAGTAAAGCGGATCCATGAGTACAAGCGCCAGCAGCTCAATATATTCGGTGTCATCCATCGCTATTTGACCATCAAAGCCATGTCGAAGGAGGAGAGAGAGAAACTCGTGCCCCGAGTGTCTATCTTTGGCGGGAAGGCTGCACCAGGTTACTGGATGGCTAAGACGATTATCCACCTGATTAACAAAGTTGCGGCAGTTGTGAACAATGATGCCGATGTCGGTGATCTACTGAAAGTCATCTTCATTGAAGATTACAACGTCAGCAAGGCAGAAATCATCTGTCCGGCATCAGACATTAGTGAACATATCTCCACTGCAGGCACAGAAGCCAGCGGGACCAGTAACATGAAGTTTGTTCTCAACGGGGGTTTGATCATCGGAACCTGTGATGGAGCTAATGTAAGTCTTACTCGATCTGCCCTCTTCGACACGTCTGCTAACTGTGGCCGTCCAGATCGAGATTACGCGTGAGATTGGGGAGCAGAATATCTTCTTGTTCGGGACATTGGCGGAGGATGTCGAGGAGCTCCGTCATCGCCACTTCTATGGCGAGTTCCAGCTCGATCCTCACCTGTCCAAGGTCTTCGAGGCGATCCGCAGCGATATGTTTGGTGACGCCAGCAACTTCTCTGCGCTCATGTCCGCAATTGCCGAACACGGCGACTATTATCTGGTCTCTGACGATTTCAATTCATACATCACAACGCAGGAGATTGTGGATGAAGCGTTCAAGAACCAAGATGAATGGATAGCTAAGTCTATCACTAGCGTGGCGCGGATGGGATTCTTCTCTACTGATCGGGTGATCAGTGAGTATGCGGACAGTATCTGGAACATTGAGCCTTTGGAAGTCAGAGATGATTAACTGCGTCACGACTGAGCAAATTCGTCATAGTGAATAGGCACACTTTACGGTTTTTGATTATTGCATGAATTCTCTGATTCTTTTTCTGATTCGATTGACTGGATATGCTAGAAAGGAAACCACATGTACACCTAGGCGTGAGCAAACACCGACAGATACGCTCATTCGCAACGAATAGAAATGCAAGTAAGCTCAAGTTGCAGACTATCGCAATCAAACAGAAGTATGAAATCGAACGTCGGTCTGGTCTATACCGAGAAACTAGTCAAAGAGCCATAATACAGTCATATATGCTATATATCAACCCAACAATGGATCTATGCAGTAGTCAACTCCGCCAAACGTCGCTGCAGCTCCGGAACTGCACGAAGATGAAGGTCCAATTCTTCTTTCTCGCTGTGACGACGATTCTAGTCAGCATCACGTAGGGAAGAACAGGTTATCAGATAACTTACTCTTCCAACTGCAATCTGCGCTCCCAGTCCAGTCCAGTAAAGATGTAGCCGCCCTGGCCATCAAACTGCAGGATCTTCTTGTGGTACTTCCAGAGACTGCGGCGATGCGAGACCGTCATGAGGGTGGTGCCCAGCTTCTTTGCGGTCTCGTACATGACCCGTTCGATTTCAAGGGTGACCGAGGAGGTGCATTCATCTAGGATAGCAAATTTAGGGCGGTGGTAGAAGAGTCGCGCCATGGCGATGCGCTGCTGGAGCCCGCCGGAGAGGACATCGCGCCATTCCTCCTCGGCGTCCCAGCCGCCCGGCCGGTCGACGACAGAGGCGATCTCCACGATGGATAGGATCTCGTAGAGTTCTGCGTCTGTGACGCCCTTGGCGCGCATTTCGCGCACGCCGTCCGGGTAGATCACCTGCTGTCGTAGAGTGCCACGGGACAGGTAGGGCCGTTGCGGGATGTAGAAGATCTCGTCGAAGCGGGGCTTCTTGACTTTGCCGCCGTAGACCGGCCAGAGGCCGCCGAGGATGCGGAAGAGGGAGGATTTCCCGCAGCCGTTGGGGCCGACGATGAGGAGATGGTCGCCTGGGTGCACGGTGAAGGAGAGCTTGCGGACCAGAACGTCACCGTTGGGGGAGACGATGGGGACATCGGTGAATTCAATCGAGTCGCTTTCCTCAACCTCGCCGCGGCCGGACAGGACGGCGGCGTTTTCCTCGGTGGATGCCGAGGAGACGAGCTTCTTCTCGAAACGTCCGGCTTGCAGGTCCTCCATGACCTCGAGGAGAGATGAGACTCGTGCTGTGTGACCGGCGAGTTCGGAGATCTCCTTGTACGAGAACATGAGACGGCCAAAGGCGTCCGATGAGGATAGTAGCATTCTGCGGTTTGTGACAAAGCCTGTTTATGTCTGTTAGTTTCGACTGAGGCAAGATGTTCGGGGGCAAAACTCACTTTCTGTGCGGTCTGCCATAGTCTGTGTGATCTGGCCGGGAATGCGGAAGAAAACGGGCATGCTACACAAGATCAAGCCTAGAGCTCCCCAGAAATACTTGATGACAAAGTCCTCCATGAATCCGTGATATAGTCGTCTTCGTAATATCCGGTTGACGTGCTTAATGAGGGTGAAGTACCCTTTGTCCAGGGTGTCCTTCTCGGCCTCTTGGCCGTGATAGAGGGCCACCTCCTCACTGTAGTCAATTAATCTTGAATGGAGGAACCGGAACTCGCCCTCCAGACGCGCCTCATCAGCAACATATTTGCCAAATGGCGGCGTCAGCGCCCGCATGACGTTTGCAGATAACTGGACCAAGAGGCTCATGATGAACAGGCCTTCGCCTCCCACGCTCTTCGACAGCGAGTAGTTGTATATCACCATGTCCAGGATCGGCTTCGCTAAATTAGAGTATAGCTCCGCCAAGCTGTCGGAGAAGCGAGAGACGTCGACCGTGATCAACTGGTCGGGATTCTTGACTCGGTCGTCCAACGCCGAGATCGCATAGAACGTCATGTTGCTGAGATACTTGTCGTGGATGTAATCCGTGAGACGCTTTCGGTAGCTGAGAGCAAGCTTGCACTGGTGATAGGAGAGCTAGGGCGCAACCAAGTATGTCAGTCAAACTCCGATCGCGACCCTACGAGACCAGCAGCAACTCACCATCGAGTTCGTGAACGTCGCTGGCACCGCAACAATCATCCACCATGTAAGACCCAGCAGGAAGTCCTTCCCCTTCCCTCGCACCAAACTGCTCACCAACCTCCCGTCCAATTCTGCCACATACAAACTAAGCATTGTCCGCAACACCAAAAAAACACTATGCCCAACGAGCAACCGAAACTCCTTGCTCTTCCACCCCGGAATCACAATCTTCAGCAGCCGGAGTAGGTTCCGAAAGAACTCGCGGTTCACCTCGACCCTCTTCCGGGGCGGCTCGTCGCCATCCCCCAGACTGCTGGTGCCAGGTCGCTTGCGCAGGTCGACCTGCGACCGGGATGCGGCCTTTTGCTCGGAGATGGCATTGTGGACACGCTTGACTAGAGCGACGAAAAGAGCGAGGTAGACGGTGCGGGAGATCTGTTTGCGATGGCGCAGGTAAAGGGACGATAGGCTGGAGAGAATCTGTCGGATAGAGCGCTCGGGCGGGAGTAGTTTGGACTGAGCGGCCATGGTGAAACTCGTGATACTAGCACGAGATGGCGGCCGAGGCCGTGTTTCTGTGGGGGTGGAAGGAAGCACAGACGGAGATGATAAGGTGCTTGAGGGACTATCCAGGGTCGGCGGAGGCGAACATGACCATACTATTATTGCATTGGTCTCCGGAGGATGGTGATATAGAGATAGCTGATGGCGAAGGGGGAAAGAGAAGATGGGTAGCGTAGTAAGAGGATGGATGGTGGATGATGGAGGCACTGGCACGTGAAATTCCCCAGTTAAAACAGGTGTGATTTTCCGGGGAACGCAAGCACCAGCACCGCAGAACCGAGGAAGCACACTCCTGTGGTGGAGATCACCCACGCAACCCACTCAAGAGACCCATCGATGATTTCAGTGCTAAGATTAGTGGGAAATGCGATTTGAAAGTCTGAAATCCATAATTTTCTTTGGATAGTTATAACAATTTGTGAGATCAGACCGACTATGGTACAGTGGATCTTTAGACCTGGCAAACCATCCAAGCCTATTGCTGTTCAACATGCCTCCGACTATGACAGAAGAGACTGATCGAGTATATACGTGGGCAACATCAGCCAGATAACTCGGATATATGTACAAGATTCATCAATCGCTCTGAAACAATGCAATATGAGAAGATGAAATAAACAATCGATATGAGACATTGACAATCGAGTAGCGCTGTTCATCATTTACAGCAGGCCATACTCAAGAAGCAGATACGCAAAGCAGAGAGACGGTCGTCACGGCTATTCGTCGCAACCACTTCTCTTAAGACGGCTTCTGGTTCGCCTCCAGTTGTTCTTTGATAGCACCATTGGGCTTCGGGGATGCAGTCTGCTTGCCACTATTGATCTGAGCGGCAATCTGAGTCTGTCGCCATTGCTCAAACGCCGCCGTATCCTGTTTCTCCATAGCCCACAGTTCTTCTACGACAGAGCCCATTTCTTCAAACGCCTTGTCGGCATTTGCGCCCTCGAAATGAGCCCGAGTTTGCTCCTCGTGCAAACGGTCAAGCTTGTTTCGCAGAGCTTCCAAGTGAGATTCACCAAGGGAAGCCGATGAAGGGTCGCCATCGCCTTGATTCATGGACGGACTAAGGAAATCACGGCGAAGATTCTGGCCAAGACGATGAACATGACCTTCTTCCGAAGTCATCGCGCGCGCATGTAGGGACGTAATTGAGCTAGTACGTGAAAGACGAACGGCATATTGGTCGGTATCATCATCATCAACAGCGTTCTCGTCGATAGTCATGCCGAACAGTTGGCCACCGCCGGCGGGTGCGGCCGCCGCATCGTCACCAGAGATTTGTGAGCTAGTCTCTTGAAGGGCAGATACGACAGAGGCTGGCTTAACGCGAGTCTCTGGGTATTCGTCCTCAAAGCGCTGAATCATCCTATGCAACGTAAAGTCAAGGAACTGGAGTCGGCCTGCAGTCGATCATTGGTTAGATATGTGATTACATGTAAGAACAGAAATGTACTATGGATGAGGAGGCACTCACGATAGTTCGCGTCATTGCCGGCTCGATCCTCACGAACAAGAGCGGACTGGATCCGGGTGCGGATGTTGCGAGCTGATTCAAGCAAATTCTTGGACATATCGCGCGGCCTTTGAGGAACAAATGACCTCGACTTCCTATGCCTTGGTGTAGTTGTACCACTGGGAGGGGCGGATTGGTCCCCGAGCATATCACGATGGTGCAGAGTGCCTAAACAGACTTCCAAGGCCTTGACAACTCCCGTGCCTCCGATCACATAGTCCTCGTCAGGAGCAGGCTCATCCTCATCTTCACAGATGTCGTCGCCAAGGCCACCATGGCCGACAATGTGCTGTAGAATTTCAGGGACAGGGACAGCCGCACGGGCGGATGAAGGATCCGCTGGATCTGAGAGTTCTTCTTCAATGGCACCTCGTTCCAGATTCTGGAGACAATAGGCCACGATCTGGGAGGCAAGGGCCTTGACGACTTCATTGTTTTCCGCACTTGGAACTTCAATATCCACTGCAATGATGGTTCGAGACACGCGCACTGCCGCCATCAAGGAAGCATAAACGGCGCAAGCCTCTTCCTGAGTGGCAGGGTCAGTCGCAACGGCTAGTTTTGCGATTGCAGGGTTCTCCAGAATGTTGAGATGGCAGAGACTGGGGCACTCAGGAAGGATCTCGGCAAGAGCGATGGCATGATCTGCTGAAAGATTGACGTCGGCAAGATGAATGCGTTTGAGTGATTTCATCATAGGAAGGAAGCGCCTGAAAGTTGCCAATGCATCAGGCTTGCTGGAGAAGAGATCCGGGTTATGAGAGAAGTCGATGAACCGGAGATTATAGAGACATGTCAGGCGCTGAAGAAGAGGGTGAATGACAGATG